AAAGGCCGCGGATCGGAACATCTTCCCAGGCGACGTCTCATCGCTTCCTCGCGGTGTGAACCTGTCCCAGGCCATGTCCTTTAAACCGATCCGGCCGCGGACGGCGCTTCCTGTGCGTGAAGCGTTTGGTTCCGAGCCAGCTGTAATTGATGACGCTGCCGAGGACGTTACTATTACCAGCGTCGTTAGGCATTTCATGTCTGTTAGCCGGCGCTCGGCGGCCCGACGGGGCTTCCCAGCGGCCCGGTTCGGCCCTGGCTGCGTCGCGAGCTGGCTCCGCGAGAGGACCGATCGTTACCGGCCTCGCTCCCACGCCGGGCAACGGAGACGAAACCTTCCGCTGCGGCGGCGGAAATAATTCATAACTCGCCCGGAAAAAATATCGGCTTGGGTGAGTCCGGCCGGGCGGCGCGGCGGCGGGGCGCCACGGCCCGGTCGTTGGCTCGAGCGGAGGCGCGGACCGACTGTTGGAGCGGCTCAGCGTCGGACAGAGAGCGGTGCGTCGGCCGGCCAGCTGACGTCACTGCGGTACGATATGCCTGCGATCCGTCACCATCTGCGAGACGGAGGGCACGGCAGACGGCGAGAATCTGAGCTGGTTAGGAACACGTTCTGGATATACTTCCATGGGGTGGGATGCTTCAGATTTGGGGTTGTGTCCCGACACGACAGGTCGACTTGCCCCTGCGTGATATCCCACACACCACCCTGACATCAACCCGCGTTCGTCACGGGAGCCGGGCACCGTCTGAGTCCATTCATGGCGTCCTGGCCAGACAAACAGCCCACTAAACAGACGGCACCCTCGCCACACTGCTGCGATCGCGCGGCACGCGGCCGACGCCCGGCGGGGGCGACATTCCGCTCGCTCCCGGCCGTGCACAAGTGGTCATCGATGTAAGACTCGGTTCGGGACCGTCACCACGGCGTCGCCGACGAGGCGAGGCGGCGCGGCCGAACCGTTTTTCCCGCCCGGCGAGGGTCGCCGGCAAAAACTCTCCCCAATAAAACTCTGCTCGTTTGACCTCTGTGTGGTGGCCGCCGAGTGCTGATACATCATCGCCGCCGCCGCCGCCGCCGCCGAACCGACACACATTGCTAAATATGGTCACCGGAGGTCGTCCCGGCAACAGCGGGTCGTAAAAGCGACCCTTCACGGCGATTGCACGGGTGATTTGCCTGCTGCAGCTTTGTCTGAATGCGGCGTGGGCCTTTATGTGGAGTAGACGCAACCGCCCTCCAAACAATTACCGGGCTATTTCGCGTTTTCCCGGGCACGACGACTGCGCATGCTTTGCATCGTAGAGAGGCTTTGTCTTGGAGGCTCAAGCGGTGCATCTAATTAGATGCACCGCGAAATATCAGGAGAGTACTCTTGCAGAGCAGCGTTCAATAACAGCCCCGTGGAGCCACTGTCACATTAAATTCCTCACGGCTGGAGACAACATGTGTAATCTAGTGCACGCTCCCCAGCTGAGCACAAAATACAGACGTTGAACGCCCTGTCAAGATTCATTTACCACGTGTAGTTTTATTAGTTCCTCTTGACATTTTCAGTGCTACATATTTTGCCGCGGACGAAACGGGACGCGAGCGTTGCGCGCACACTATATGGTTTATGATTGCCATAACTTAGCCGGAAACAACAGTGAGCAGCATAAACGTCTCTATCGTCGTTGCGGTAAGCGAGTTTAGATGTAACTGGAACGACGTCCGTTCCCTCCGGCGCCGACGACGACGGAGAGCACGAACCGCACGCTCGTGGTACGGGTCACCGGTTCACACCGTCACCGAGCGGTGGCGGCTGCCACTCAGGCACGCCCCGAATCTCCACACCATCCGGACACGCACACTCGCACCGCGACAACTTTACGGCCTTTTTATTTGGCCGATTGGTTAGCGCGTGCCGACTGGATCTGGCGCGCCCCGCCGGCGGCGGTCGACCCGTGTGGACAGGCGGCGCGGCGGCCGGCCCGCCGCGTCCACACAAAGCTCCGTCACTTTCACCCCAAAATATGGACGCTTAATTCGCCCGTTTGCTTTATGTGCGCGCCTAATGGCGTCCGCCAAGCCGTTTTGAATATGGATGTGGGCAATAGTTTTGCAGCTAAGCCGAGATCCCGCTGTGTGGCAGGCGGGCCGGGCGCTGCAGCGGCCCGAGAAAGCCGCCCGGTCAGCCGGTGAGGAGGACTCGTCCGCTCACATTCCCGCCCCGGCCGGCGCGTCCTGCTGCTGCGCCGCTGCGCCGGCCTGCCGCGGCGGCGACCCCGGCCGCCCCCGGCCGGCGCGCTCCAGTTCAGCGACGCCTCAACCGTTCAGCTCGTCAAACTAATGACGCGCTCACGATTGGAGAATAAACCCGCACGTCGGCGCCGGCTGGCGGCGTCGGCGCCAAGCCGGCAGTTGCCGGGACGGCATCGCCGGACGCGCGCGCGCGCGGCCGCCGGCCCGGCTGGACCCGTTCGGTTGCAGGCGCGCCGCCGCGACCGGCCTCGGGCGGCAGATGCCCACAGTCCGTGGGGCGCGGCACAGATCGGCTCTGAATACCAATCGGCGCGCCAGTCGACCTCATACTTTCACATCGGTGGCGTGTGTGGACCGGGTCCCCCCCCTCCCTCCCCCGCCGGAGGGGCGGCGGGACGTTCCACTCCCCCCGCTGGAGAGACGGCAACGCTGGCCCGACTCCCCACACGGCCTCGACTCTCCCCCGGTTCGGATGACCCGCCTCCGATCGCGGTCTGGATACAGGACGTTCCCACACTCCGTCCCCCGCCGGAGCGTGGGCGCGCCTGCCCCGCGCTTCGGCCGCAAGGCGCTGCGTCGCGATGCAAATGCGACCCGACTCTGGAATCAGCCGCATTGCAGGGAATGCAGCTGCACGCTAGTTTCCATTGCTGTGCACGGTCGTAAATCGCTCTCGAGTGTGCAATCGGTCTGCAAATGCTGGGGAATTTGTTCCGACCAGTGCATTTGTTGTCCAGCGTTTGAATGGCGCACTGTCTTGGCGTGCGTTCGTTTCTTCAGACGTTTGGAATATGTCTTGCCAGATCCAATTCACGCAAGCAGTTTTGTACGCCTGAGCTATTCCAGGCTATTTCGGTGTGCAAAAACCGAGAACGGAAGCGTATGCGGCCTGATGCATCCCGAATAACGCAAGTAACCATTTATGTGCAATTACCGTTCAGATAGGCACCGCTGCATTTGTTAATCGGCCAGCAGGGAACCGCGACTTCTCATGCCGCGAGCTGTGGCCGGAGCACTCCGGGAGTAGTGTGAGACCGTGATCGCCCCGCCAGCTCGTGAGCGGACCGTACGGCGGCCCCTGGGGCTCCTGCGCGGCCGCTCGGACCACCCCGGCTGCCGGGCAATATATCCGCCGTCAATCAGGCGTCACACCCTTTGAGCCGGAGCCGACCGCGGCGACCCGGCTCCGGAGCTGATCGGGAGGACCCGTCTCCGCCAGAGCCGACCGGGAGGACCCGGCTCCGCCAGAGTCGAATGCGAAGACCCGGCTCTGGAACCGACCGCGAGAACCCGGTCCCGGAGCCGACCGGGGGGACCCGGCTCCGCCAAGCCGACCGGGAGGACCCGGCTCCGCCAGAGCCAACCGCGGGGACCCTGCTCCGGGCCGATCGCGGAGACCCAGCCTCAGAGCCGAGCGCGGCGCGTGACGGCGGCTGACTCAGACCGGCCAAGCCTGCCTGAGCCGCTGCCAGTGACGCAGTTTGCCCGGTCGAACACTTCTGCTGAAGCCGAGATCCACAAAATGCGTCATTTTCGGCAAACAAGTTCCACACCCGGGCGGGAGAGCGGCGGTCTGCCGGATCTCGAGCTTCTTGGAGGCAGCTATCTTGGGACTACCGGAATGGATACTGTGCTTGAGGGAGCCCCTAGGCGCCGCTGTTTGGTTTGGCAAACCACTGAGCCAGGCGCGTGGTCCGGCGGTCCTCGGAGGTCGTGACCCCATCACGCCCCTGTAATGTTTGATGTAACACCGGGTACGCCTCCGAACCCCACAAAACAAAGCCTTGTCAACCTCCTAAATTATTCTGGATGAAATTAGGGTGCTAGGTAAGAAATGGATTAGGACAAGAACAGTTTATTAAATAACCATTAAGATCAATTTTGTACGTCGGGATAATGTGTAGCTGTGAATAAGTATAGATAGTCTACTGTTATTTATAGCAAGGGAAATAAATGATTGAAAGGCGTCGAGCGAGCCCCATCTAAATGATAACAGACCTGCTCCACTTCTCTCACCTTGAAGCCTTAGGGCTGATTGTACCAATGGCGTTCATGTCAAAATTTGTCTGCGCTCCTAGAAGCTCGCGCAGGATAACAACACATCCGGCACTTTGTAAGCTTCAGTTATTCACATTAATGCTCCAGCACTGTCCAGCGTTTGTACGGAGCGGGCGGTCATCACGTGGGGCTCATTAAAGCGTCACGTGATGAAAATAAGCCGCCTCTTCGGCGCAGGCCATTGCGCCAGCGCCGCGACTTTTCTCCACGCGATTCGCCGCTCCCCAGAAGCGTCCGGGCGGAACGCCATCGGTGCGTCCAACATTCGCCTAATCACCGAGCGCAGATAATTCAGATTTGACGCGAGCCGTCCGAGCCTCCACGTTGGCCCAGCCACGTGTCGGCACACAATCGCGTGATGGAGCCTGGGGGCGCCCGCCACTCCTGTCGACACCATGTATCGGGCGCGCAAGCCACCGGGAGAAACTCTGCGCCCCCTCCCCTCCAAATGCCGATCACCCGCCGCTCAGTGGCACCATCGTGACAGCTGCCCGGGTCACCGTGGCGGGACAGCGCGGAAAAAGCCCACGATGTCACATACCGATATATGGACTGTGTTCCGTCGCTTTGGTCGCGACCTCATAAAAAGCTCCTCTCTCCCGGCACGCTCGGGGGACGGGGTCAGGTCACGCTGCGCAGGCCGCGTGACCACGGTTTGGTCGGCGCCGCGGCTCATCGCAACTTTCCCTCTTTTCCAGATGAACCAGTTATGCAAAGTCTGCGGGGAGCCAGCTGCCGGATTCCACTTCGGCGCATTCACGTGCGAGGGCTGCAAGGTACGGCAAGCGGACGGAAACTCGCTCTTGTGCAACGCGCCGTCTGTCGGGCCACATAGACGGGCCGACGGCGCCCCGGTCGTGTCCGACCGTACTGAGATCTACTCCAGACAGGCAGCGATCGTCGTGCCGGGCCACGCGCGGCGGCAGCTAGCGGGGACGGAGGGACGGGTCGGGCCGGAACCGTAACGCCCCTGCGAGCCCCGCCCACCACCCGGCCAGCATCAACCCAGGCGGCTGGAGCGCAAACCCTAGCCGGCGTCCAACGGCGCGCGAACAGAGAAGCAGCGTAGATGTATTCAGTTTACCAGCGTTGTTCGGCCCCCGTTCGTTTTGATGCGGGTTTGGTGGATCTTCCGCTATCGAGCTCCCTATCACCCGTTTCCGGTGACAGGATCACTGAGAGCCTGCGCACATCCTCCTGCGAACAGATGGTACCTTTGATATATTTAATGATGCTGTGTTCAGGTAAACAGCGTGCAGAGGGCCGAGATCTCCGTCAACGCTGTGCGGTACAGCGAACGCAGGTACCCTTCGCGCTCCTCGAGAGTCCCGTGACATACCCCGCGTACGCATCTCCGCTGTTGCAACCTCGACCAGCCTGTAAAATGCTTGGGTGGCATACGTGAAGCCAGGCAGCCGAGCTGGGACCGGCATAAAGAGATAACAGCGCAATAAACGGTACGTTATAGGATGCCGTGCGCTGCTGGCTGGCTGCCGGCCCGACCTGCGCCAGGGCCAGTCGCTCGGTGACTTTTTCGTCGCAAGTCTAGCCCACATACTTCCAGCGGCATAAATCACAAACACAGTTTAGCATTTAGCCAACAATGCTCGCGGCTACACACAGCAGCTATAAAAACAAGTAAATTCAGCAATTAGGTAATAGCTGATGGCCGTTCAGTGTTTTTGCCACGGTCCAAATGACGTTTTTGCTGGCGTGTTTTACCGTCGTCGTGTCGCCGTACAGCGGCGGGCCTGCCATCTCGATCCAGTGACAACTTTCACGAAATAAAATTGAGTTTATTTATTCTCAAAAGGCGTCGTGAATGCTTACCAATGAACACAGCAGGCGGCAGCGTGACGTCACGGGCGTGAGTCGCCTCCGAGCCCTCAGAACTCGGCTGCGTTTTTGAAAATGTTCCGCTTGACTGCCAGCCAGTCGTGCTGTTAAATATGGACAGAACCTGTAAAGCATGCTCTGCTTTCCCTTTTTTGCTGGCAGTTAGTGCGTCGTCGGTATTTTCGTGCATGTGTTAGTGAGCGGGACAAAAACCCCAATACGTCGCTGGGTGTAATGATTGCCACGGCCACCCGTGAAAGGGCGAAAGATCACAACCCCGCACTCGCCCGCACAGATGATAGCTCAATTTTCATAAAAACTTTAACGACATACGGACGACGCGTGTATATTAGTCATGATAACATAAGGTCTGCAGCTCCGATTGTTAGGACTTTATGTTTGGAATTTATCCGGGTAATTAACTGCAGGCCGGCTGAAGCACGACCTTTATGATGAGGACTTTTACGGGACAGAACAAACCTAAAACAACCGATTCACAGCGTCGAACCAGCCGATGAACTCGCATCTTCACGGAAACAATGCTTTGAGCGCCGCCATATTTTCATTGTACGAGGAATAAACGACCGCATCTGAACTGAAGCTCATGAAGCGTAACATGAATTGATTATAGTGCTGGTGCGCCTAGGCTGAGAACGCATGGGAACGAAGCAGAGCCCAATTAATTGAAATCCACGGGACAGAAACAATCAGATGAGCTACTTGTTAAATCACCTCCGTACCCAGCTGGCTGTGACAAATCTGAGACAAATCTTGTCAAACGCGGTCTGCTTCCCAATTTTCCACCATTCCGACTACTTTCGGCATGGTCTGGCTTTGATTGATTCTGGTACACCGATTATTTTTTAAGCCGTGTTTTATATGCCATGTGAAAAGCATAGTAAATAGCAGTGGTTCCAACCATTTGCCGATCTGCAAGAACTGCATGGCCAGCTTCATGGCCTCGACCACAGCTGACAAGTGTCATCTCTTTGCAGTCCTTCTTCGGCCGAACGTACAACAACCTGTCTTCGCTAAACGAGTGTAAGAACAACGGCCGCTGCATCATCAACAAGAAGAACCGAACCTCGTGCAAAGCGTGCCGCCTGCGCAAGTGCCTGATGGTCGGCATGTCCAAGTCGGGTTCGCGTTACGGCCGGCGCTCCAACTGGTTCAAGATCCACTGCCTGATGCAGGAGCAGGCGCACCAGGTGCTCGACAGCTCGAGCATGCCACCGCTGCACAACGGCAACGGCTTCAACGGCTTCTCGTCGAGCCTGAGTCCGCTGAAGGGCGGCGAGGCGCCCGAGCCTGCTGCTGACAAGCCGCCGCCGACCGTCAAGTGCTCGACTCCCTCCTCCGACACGTCCAACCCGGCCAAGAGCCCGTCGTCGGACACGTCCGACTCGAAGCCGCCGCTGGGCCGGTTCCACCCGTACAGCGCCGGCCTGCCGCCGCAACTCTTCTACGACAAGTCTTTCCTGTCGCCGCTGGCCGCCTCGCTGCCGTTCTCGCCGTTCGCGTCGCTGCAGGCGCCGTACCCGCTCTTCCCGGCAGCCTACCAGCAGAAGTTCCTTTTCCCGCAGAGCTATCTGCCAGCGCAGCTGACGGAGCTCTACCAGAAGAAGGCGGCGCTGGCGGCGCCGCCGCCAGCCAAGCTGGCCAGCCCGACGGCGGCGGCCGATGCGCCCGAGCAGGACTCGCCCATCGACCTGTCGACGCGAGGCGTGCCCGAGCTGGCGCTCAGTCGGCCGGCCGACAGTGACTCGGACTCGGAGTCGGTGCAGAGTGCGGCCGACAGCGGCGCGTCGGCGCTCGGCAGCGACTCGGACACCGTCGCCAAGCCGGCGCATGTCGAAACGCCGCTGGACCTGACTGCCAGAACGTAATGGCGCGTCGCCTGCTCACGCGCGCCCCCCGCTTGCACCCGTGCCATACTGCGTCCCGCGCCGGCGCCGGCCGCCGGCCCCCAGTATTAGACGCGGTCGCCCATGTTGAGTACAAACCTGCCCCGCGCAGCGTGCTCGCCGAGTGCTCGCGTGGTGTCGCCTGGTGTCCCTGTAACGTTGTAGCGGGAGGAGTCGCCTCGATTGCGTACGAGTAGCCCGTGCAATAGAAACCGTATTAAGCTATCCACTGGAGAGCGTAGAGCTTATCGCAGCGCTAGGCTGGCCGTTCTGCGCCTGCGCCTCCAAGGCTGCAGTCGAAGCGCTGGTGCTCAAGCAATCGTAGGCCGCCCTGCCCGCCCGGGCGCGGGCCCCGCGGCGTCAGCCGGCCGGGACGTCGGGTATGTCGCCCGCCGCCCCTCACTTCCGCCCGACTCAAACGCTGCAGTCATGGCAGCGGCGGGCGCCGGCGGCGGTCGCAGGCAAGGCGCATTGTGTGCAAATGAAACGGCGCCGCAACGGGGCCAGGCCAGAGACCGCCGGGTCCGCCCGGGCACCGCGCCGCCGGCCGCCGCTCAGGGGCCGAACACTGTTGTGCTAGCTCCGGGCGCTGTTATGGTGCGTCCAGGCACTGCTGTGCGGCGACCGGGCACTGCTGTGCGGGGCCTGAGTCTACTGCACAGCGCTGTGCGGAGTGTGCGCCTACGCTCGGCCGGCGGCCCTCCGGAGAAGGCTGTAGGCCGCCCAAGGGCGGGTGCTGGCACCGGAGGGGCGTATCTGGATCGCTGCTGCCTCTTCACCGACCTTTCGTCCCACCCAAAGTCATTGTGCCGCGGCTTTGGCGCTCAGCCTCCCAGTCGCGTCCATCTTAGGTTTATTTAAGCTTTTAGCAGTGCTAGTTCCTGCTCTGTTGATGTGCATTGTGATGTGACCGTTTATTCAGTTGTGTTTTATTACAGATTTTATGTAGATTACTATTAGCGCGGCGAGCGCCATTCGGTGCTATTGCATAATAAATTGTCGACAACCGCCGGTGGTGGCTTCTTTGGCTCGGAGCGAATCTCCATACAAACGGGCGGCGTCTGCCGGACGATGAGGTAACCCCACCACCCGTCGCGAGACCCTTTTGTTCTCTAATTCAGCCCATTTTGGCGCCAATGAACTGTATCGGCCGTGAAGCATGCAGCGCGCGGCGCGGGCGGCCGGCGCCCTGCACAGAGTCAGCTAATGGCCGACCATGCAGACCCGGCTTTGTTGCGGGCCGGCTGGCTGGCCTGGCCTGGCAGCCCGGCCGCCCGCGCACCGTAATGGTCGCAGTAACACGGCTTTTGTAGAGCGAGGGAGACGGATTTATGGTGGCAGCGCGTCGGAGTATCGACAGGCGGGTGCCGTCTGGAGGTTGCCGTGCAGGGGGTGCTGCGCGGGCGGGCGCGACCCGAGGCACCTTGCGCCGTGGGAGCACCATCACGGCGCCGAGAGCCGACGGCCAGGCTACGGGAACCGAAACGGGCCTATCAGACATGAGACGGCATCACACTGGACGATTTTAGACCGCCGTTGTTGCCGTTTTTTTAGCGCGTCACTTAATGCTTTATACTAGCTGCTAAAATTATGCGGCTTTTCTGCAGTAAGCCTTCCCTGCTGAGCATGGTTCTCGGAGACCAATACTTGTGTATGTGTAAACGTATGAGTTATCAGAAAATTCCTACTCTTTCCATCAGCTCGACACGCGACAGCGCCACAGAGTGTCCTCCGCGTGGCGTCGTCTGCCAGGCGTGCTCATGCATTCACAGATCGCCCCGCCGGCCGCGGAGATGGGGTGGAATGCGCTCACCTCGCCGCAAGGGGACGTCCGCAATCCCCGGCACCGCTCTGATTCACACGCCCTCGCGTTCGCGCGGACGGTGACGTCATGACCCACAGCCGGGATCGCCCGCCGCGCGGGGGGCGGTTCGGCGAACGACGCGACTGATATCTCGCCGATCCCGACCAGGCTTAAGAAGCCGTTCCAGTCGACGGACCCAGCTCGCAGCGAGGCCCTCTCGAGATCGCAGTACTGCGGCCGTGCGGCGCAGACGCGGCGGCGGCGGAGTAGATCGCCGTTGGCGGAGGCAGCGCCGCGGCCGAAGTCGCGCAGCTCAACCCTGTTTTCCGCCAATGAGCGCCTCCCGCCGTCGCCCGCTCGCGCTTTGATTGGTTTGTAAACAGGCCAAATCCGCGGCTCGCTAAGCCGACACATATGGAAGATTAACGGGTGGAAATATTTATGAACTAGTTGGTGCATCTTCGCCCGACGGCCAAGGGCCGCCAAACCCGTCGGACGGCTTCGTGGAGCGACATTTCCCAAGGCTGGCGGCGCCGCGGAGGGAGTGCGGGCCGGTCTTGCAGGCGAGCGGCTGCTCTTCGCAGCGGCGTCCGTCCCTGCAGGACTCTGAAGTGGGTTAAGCAGCAGCACGCGAGGAACGTGTCATTA